ACTCCATATGCATACATTTACAAATACATAAACACATGCATCTACACCCAGCATTCGCCCACGCTGCGATTCTGTTGACATGACTACAACAAAATATTGACTTGTATACCCTGTAGTTAAACAAAAATATGTTTTGGGGCTATATGGATGAGTTTATAATAGGCAGCAGCTAGGGCTTTAAAGTAGGATATATGTTTTTGATCTTGCAAATTTATAGATAACAAGTGTTCAGAGACAACTCTAGAGCTTGAAATTGAGATACAAATCAATATTATGAAACATTTAGTTAGGCTTAATATATTAAGTTCTAGGAAACCATTTTCCAATTGATTCTGTGCTACACCAGCTTTAGGCTAATTACAGTGTATCTAGCAGTCGATCAGTTGCAGCTCACACACAACCTCAGCTGCATACAATGCGTGGTTACATCTTTTATCTTTATCGTATTTTTCTTGTTGAACATTCACTTTTTTGTTTCTTTCTTTTCTTTTTTTTTGGCACTTTCTTTCTAGCTGAAAGTTCGTTTGGTTTTTGTACCTTGGTGTGTGGGTGAGGGAATTAGGTAGAGTCGGGGGAGGTGTACATGCGTTAGCCGCAACAAGCCGTTAGTTGCTTTTCAAAATGTAAATACATTGGCAGACACCTGTTTATGGGTTTTCTACATTAAATGCAACTCTGTCGCTGGCACCGCAACGTAGGTGGCTTGCTTGTTGCCTCAAATTGTTGCACTTGCCATTGTCTGTGGCATATCTGGCATGTAGTTAGTTTGTAGCTTGTCTCAAGCCAGGCCAAAACACAATGCCTTGATCAAAATCTGTAAATTTGCCCATTTACCCATTTGCTACGTTGCATAGAAAGTTGAATTTGAATTCAATAAAACCAATAGATGAAGCACAGTGGTGCCAAAACTAATAAATTTATTTTTTTTTATATTGTTTTAAATTTAATTATATTTACTTTAAATATAAAATCGTTTTAATATATATGCAAATTTATATATACTATAAAAATCGAATTATCTAATCAGATTTTTCAGGTGAATTTTCTGCACCTTTAGACACTCTGAACCATGCCGAAAACAGCAAAGCGGCAAAGTTCATAAAAATAAAAACTTCAGACAAATATAAACAATGGAACAGGGCAGAAATATATGTAAACAAATCAATTGTATCTACACATACATAGACGTGTGTATGTATGTCAATATATTGCACAATTGCTAGCAATGTAGATTTGAAAACAAATAAGTAAAGCAAACCTTCTGCGCACTGGCACTGCGAGAAGGAGTCACATCATTGGAAATGGGCTAATGAAACGGAAAATCGTTTTATTTCCTTCTTTTTTCGGGTTTCCTTGACTTTTTCGCAAAGGTGTAAACAAAACAAAAATAATGCTGGGAACTGATCAGGCCAAAGCAGCGTGAGTTGTGACTAGACATAGTGTTAAAAACTACCTGTACGATACGCAGATACAAGGTGCACGATGGATGCTGCATGCTGCATGCTGCATGTGGTCATGGCGTGCCGAATCGCCAGGCATGAAATGTGGAAAAACGCCATGAAATGGGCTTTCGTCAAATTAGCGTGCCAGCGTTAACGACGAACGCATCTGCTGTTGATGCTGTGCGAGCGTCTGCATGTATGTGTGCATCTATATGTGTGTGTGTGGTGCACTGTGGGATATTTCGCACTTTGCGCTGGCAGTTCAATGTTGTGCCCGATTTGCTACCTGAGCGTCTCGACTGGCTCTTTGACGGACTAACTGACAGAACTTGCCTTGATTTATTTGAAGCTGTGCGTTGTGTTTTTGCTTTACCCAGCGTAGATAACGGAATGGGGTATAAATAGTTGCTCAATTCATATTAATTGGAACCTTTTACAATTGTCGAATAAAGAATATAGTAAAAGTTGTAGGAAATTCTTCTGAAATTGGCTATATCCAATTTCAGGCGCATTATCTACTTTATAACTCTTTGCACACACAATGATTTTTTATGGCGTCTTTATGACACGAAATCTTCATAATAATCAAACAATACACATTGATTCTTTCAGAGGCAATTCAAGGCAATCTACTGAATACAGGGCATCTGCTAGTCGTGCACACTCAGACTTGTTTTCTGTATCTAAATTTGCATTTCCATGACTTGTACAAGTGCTGGAAGCCTTGGTTCTTATCTAATGTAAAGAACTCCTCCTCGCTGACTTTGGCACTTGATCCACACACACACACACACATTATACACACACACACCCAGACTATATACAACAAAACACACTGGGAGACTGCCGTATAAACTGTTTAAACTGAGCGTCATAAATACTCCCGTCGTTTAGTTTTTACGATTGTCGGCTGTCTTTGTTTGCCATAGACTCGCACACACACACACATAGACACACATTCGCACACACACATACATTGCCCTGCTGAGATACAAGTTCCAAGTATCTTTGAACGTATCTAAATGCATATACAAGTAAATGCCTTCTGCGCTGTTGAGAGTTGAGAGACCAAAGAGCTCAGAGCTCACAGCTCACAGCTCAGACAAGAGCCTCCTGCTAAGATATGTTGGCGACTCCTGCGTACTGTACCCCAAGCCCGAACGAATCCCAATATCATCCAAAAACAGGTCCCCGCCAGGGCCAAAGTTTGCGTGCCTTGCAGACATTTTTATGGTTTCTTCTGCTGTTGCTGCTGCTGCTGCTGCTGCCGGATCTGCCCCAAAATACAACACAAACACCAACAAAAAATTACGAAAGAGAGCATTTATGGGCGCTCAGGTAGAGCCTAAAAAATTTGTAAACTCTGCAGACTGTTTGAGTGCTTTGAATATTTTGCAAACTATTTCAACCATTGAATTTTATAGCGTAGAACATAAAATCTCTAAACGGAAATTCCAGCTTAACATTTCTGCGGTAAAAGAGATCTCTTTCTAATGATTAAATTATTTTTTGAATATTATGTACGTTATATTATGGCTTATCCAGTTTTTGTTTGATCTATAAACTATATACTACAACTATTTGATGTACTTAACTATAAATAGGTAACATACAGTTAACACATCTATAATCAACTTTGAACTAGTGCTTGATTGCAGTATTACCTCTGTCAAAGGCCTAAGTTCAGATATTATAACTCTATCAACTCCTATTCGATGCATTATTTTCCGGACAGTACTGGATATTAGACTTCTGTAAAAATGTATAATGATCTTCATATAAAAATTATTTGTACTACTTAGATTGCTTGTATTAACAAATTCTTAAGTAAACAAGAATTCTGTTTGACCCTCTTTCCACACAAATATTTTACATTTGACAAACTCTTCTCCTTTACATGCATCCATCCATATGTATCCATTACACTTCTACATATAAATTTTCCACATTTCCAGCACTTCCATTCATGGTCTCCTTATCGAATGCAGCTCGTCTTCTTGTGCTTTGAGCTCTGCCGCAGTCGCGGGGAAAGGTTCAGTTGCAACCCCAACTCCAATTTCCAGCTTCGACTTCCAACTCGATTCCAAATTTGTGCGTCTCAGGTATATTATGGGACGGCGCTTATCTAACCTTATCTTACAACACTTTGCCGTCTCGTTGGGTTGTTCGGCTGTCGTTTCGGTTGTTTATGACCTGCGCCTTGGCGTGGCATCATATTTCAAAAATTGCTTCCAACAAGTGCATTTATTGTCCCACTGCTCTTTTTCACTCTTCTGTCTCTCCGTCTCTCTGTCTCGCTTGTTCGTTTTGTCTGTGTCTTTTGTGATCTCTCGCGGCTGGTAATTCAATAGCTGGGCAACCACTTCAAACAGACGCTGCCCCCAGCTGGGGCATCCATCCATCCATCCAGGATGTCAACCGCACTGCTTAACGCTTTCGAGTCTGCGGCACGCTCGGCACATCCGCTGCTTCAACAAACTCTGTTGGCTCATTATAACGAGATTAAACTGTAATCACAGCCAGAGAAGTGTGCTGTACGCTTTCACCCTCTCTCTATCTCTCTCTGTCTTTCTTTCTGAGAGTTGTCTCTTCTCTGTTTGGTTGTTTTCCACATTTTTTGGGAACACGGAACCAAAGTGCTGGCTTCCTGTGTCCCCAAACAGACCCAAACGCTTCAGCGCTTCTCTTCTTCAGTGAAAGGGACGCAGTTGTTGTTGTTATATTTGCTGCTGTTTTTGTTTTATTTATTTGTCTTTTAGCCTATTCTTTAGCCCTCTCATTTTTATTTAAATGTCATTTAAGCGGCTTAACTTGCGTCGCTTTTTATGACAACATTTGCGAGCTTTATACGCCAGGCCTCGTTATGAGCGTGAAAATGAAAGTACTTTCCTCATCTTGCTGTCTCAGTCGCTCATTAGCTTGCCCTTTCTCTATCTCTCGCTCTCTTTCTCGTTGTGAGTCTCTTGTAAAAAATGATGACTGTGCGGCTCTTTGACGCCTTGTGAACGTTAATTTTGAGCTTTCCGAAATATGCCACAATTATTTTGTTTTTGACCTGGCAGCTGATGAGTAAGCCACCTTTTCAGATGATATGATATACGGATTATATATATGTGGTATAAGCATATGGTTTTATATATTTAATATATAATAACTTAAAACAATCCTCTTAAATAACGTGTTGAACTATTCAATTAAATTATGAATATCTTACAAAAAATATGTTAAGGCAAGAATGTTAAGTTTCTCTGCTAATAACAGATTAACTAGCTAATATTCTGTTAATTAAATTTGCAAATCAGCTCATGTCAAATTTTAACATTAGCAATCAAATTACATTGCAATCATATTAATGCTAAAGTAAATTTCTCAATTAACATAACTGTTAACTTAGATTTACGTGAATTGGGTCTACACTGATGTGGTATTAGACTTTTTATCACACCAAGTTTTTCCCCGAAAAAGATCAAAAAAAAAGAACCACATGAGTCTTAACATTAACATTAATAATAACATTAATTGCAACATGTTCCTAGTCTAACAGTTATGAAAACTCACCTGAATTTAGCTGCACGCCCGGCAACATCACCGACGACTCCGCCTTGAAGCCTAGCATATTATCCACATAATTCGAATTGGCTCCTTCTCCTTCTCCGGCTCCGCCTCCCGCTCCACCCTTTTCCAGCTTTTCGGCGCCCAAGTCCAGTGTGGTGACTGCATCCAGTTCCATGTCGATCAGCGTGTTGCCTTTGAACAGGCCCGCGCTTCGATATTCCTTGGCAAAGGGCGTGGCACCCAGCGCCGCCCCCAGCAACATGAACAGGAGACAAAGCAGGCGACAAACGCGGCACATTTCACATTCAGCGGCTTTTCTGTGCCACATTGCGAGAGACAATTACAGTGGACACACGGCTAGACATAAATTGCTATTTGAATTATTTAGCGAGTGGCCTCAATTAACGGCACAAAGCGCGCATATAAAAAATAACACACAAACTTAAACCTTTTCACATCAAATTAGTTCAAGTCTCATTCGGGACTTGACCGCAGCTAAAATTCAATTATATGTCGGCTTTTTTCGCCTTTTTCTTTTGCCAGTTATACAAAATTATGTCACCAATTAGCGAGAGACTTGAGTTACGGTTGTTGTTGTCGTTCTTGTTGTTGTTTCGGGTTTTTTGCTTTTCTGACACTGCAAAGATACAAAAAAAAGGGAAAGCGCCTATTTAGATATAGCTCAAAGAATGGTTATGCTTTAGAGAGAAGTTTCTTAACGAAGAGTTTGACAGAATTGTCAGGTAAGATATTTGTCTGTGACCTAGTTTCAGATCGACATAGTTAAAGCCATAGTTAAAGCCGTTAAAAATACAAAAACTTAAATACTTTATTAATATTATTTAAAAATAAAACTAGAAATTTGTTGAAGTTATTTTAAAATAGATAATTTAACAAGAATTCTTGGAAAAACTAATTGGAAAATCTTATTCCACTTTTCCAAAATTTCAATTTTCAAGAGAGCACTGTATCATATTCCAAAACTTTCTTTCTAGTAATGGAAGTTTTTCAAATTCTATGTTAAATACAAAATAAATACCACATAAAATACTGAATACAGATTTTACGTGGAAATATTGCAATTATTAAGACTTCACTGTACTATGCACATGCATGTATGAATTACACACATCCACATACATATGTACATATATAATATATAATGGATGTTTCCATTTCCATTAAAGGATTATTCAAATTTGTATAGCAAAAGTGAGCATTGGAAGTAAATGGGTTAACGGAAATTATCGCACACATTTTCAACAGCTGCTGTAGACTTATGCGTTGGCGCGACAGCAAATCAATTAAAAATGCAACAACATATCAACAGGCGTATGTGTGTATGTAGCGTATTTGCTTGCTTGTTAATTTCCATTAAAAATTCCCATAGGCTGTTGGGCATGCGCGGAAATAAACGCACGAATTTCCACAATTGAAGGCGCGCAAATGCAGAGCCCACAATAAGCAATAAACGTATAAACGGTAAACAAATTGCCGCTACCTGTGAGAGTCCACACAAACGCCTTAAAAGGGCAACACACGCACAAACTGTGAATGATGCGAACGCATATGAGTATATTCACTCACATATGCATATGTATGCAAGCATGTGTAAAGCGCCGTTAGCGCCGCTCATAAATGTCAATGCAAGCTGTTGTTGCTTTTGCTGCCGGCACATATGGTGCAATCGTTCTATCTCGCTCTAGCACTTTGACTATGAAGCGTATTTCTTATTTTTTCGAAATATGCACAAGATGAAATTTTGAAGCAAATTTTACGCGAAAAGAAAAACAAAAGCTTGCAATATGCTTATGTGAAGAATTCCCATTCGAAACGAGTTTTGCCCAAATATTATTGCATTACAACAAAAATCCATTAACAATGCAAATACACACACCCACACACGCTTGCACATACACCGTTTTTAATATCCGGCGGGAAGAACAACAACAATAGACATTTGTTTGTTGTTGTTCTCTTTATTGTTTATATTTACTGCGTACCTTCTATGGAACAATTAATAATTGTTGATCAATTTATTGGACACACACACACGCGTGAAACACGCACAAATATTGACCGTAGTTTTTTCTTATTTCTTTTAACGAGATTTGCGTGAATTAACGGTAACGGTAAAATCGAAAACTACTGACGCGCAATTTCGCTCCACCGACCGCACGCTACGAAAACGATCTTCACAATAACAAAACAAATGTTGCCCAACAAGCGCACAGTGCGTACCTTAGCAACATGTATACTCAGCAACAGTAATCGATTACAATGATGAGCTGCTATTTGTAAATATCGATAGACGTGGTGAATTTTACAAAGTTAGCGACCGATCAATTTGAAGCCGTTTATTTTTAAATGCATCGTTTTAGCTAATAACAAAATAATGCGTTTGAAATAAAATAAAAATACGGATATATTATAAAAACGATAATTAAATATGAATACAGAATTCAGAATGTATTATAAAACGATTATTAAATAATCGGAACACGTAATCAGCGAGTGTTCTCATCCAGCTGCCGACGATGTTGCATTTGCAGCTCAAAACGCCGATTTGAACGAACTCCGCGAACAATTTCGCTTCTCTTTTCTAGTCCGTTTCGACCCTTAAACATTTCCATGTGTCGCTTGCGACGTGCCTCCAATTTCTTTTGCATGGGCTCATCCCTGTTGCTAGGCATCTCCCTGGCTCTGTTTTGACTGCGCGCTCCACTTGCAGCTGGAATAAACAGCTTGGACGTCACTGAGGTGGACAAATTGAATGCCGGCTTCTTGTTGCTTGACAAAGCAGGTCGAGCCGGCACATTTGCTTTCGGCTGTGCCACACCCACAATCTTGCGTGGCGTCGGCAGCAGTTTCATCCGCTCCAGCTCCTCCGGCTTCATTGGGGTCAGCGTATAGGTGGGCACTTCGATTTTCTTTACCGCACGCGAACGCACTCTCTCCGCAACTGGTATCTGCTTCTTGGCTGACGAAACATTTTTTTCTTGCTGTTGTAGTTTAACCGCAGAGCTTGTTAAGACTTTGGCACGCACGGCCTTGCGCTCCAAGTGCTCCACCAGATTCTCCATCTTCTCGAATTGCTTTTGATGAATTGCCGCAAAATTTGGCAATTTAGAGCGCAGCTTCGATTTGTTGGGCGTAATTGTGGATTTGTTGGGAGGGTGATATTGATCTGAAGGTGATATTGAACAATAAATTATATTGAGACATAATATAAATAATGCTGCACTTACTTATCTTGGGAATTCGGCTCGGTAGGGGATTTACCTCCAGTGATTTGGAACGCTTGCGACGCTTTGTGATATCTAGTAAAGGGAAGAGGTATCAAATGGATTAGATCATGATATCGATTGGAATAAGATATAGAATAAATTACAATATAAATGAGATTATGATAGAAAATTGATTGACATAGACTAAGTATTAGGTGATCAAAATCTTTTGATACAGAAAAGCATTATCTATATGAAATAGATTAGCATAGAAAAGTGATATAGATTGTATTATGACATAAACATAGACTAGACTCCATATAGATAAGATCATTATACATAAAAAGGAGATACAAAAGATTTCGAAAAAGGTAGATTATGTCGGATCGATAGCTAGTTCTATACATAATCAATATATAGCATTTATAGCTCTTACTACTATTGTTCAGATTCTCCCAGCGTTTATCAATATCATTGACATTGGCCATTTCTACGGGACTGTAGAAGGTGACACCCTTGCCCTTGGTCTCGTTCGAGCGTGGTATTGATATCGAACGACTCAGCCGTGAAGAAAATGGCTCTTGCAAGAAGTTAGTAGATGAACTGGCGCTGTCTCTGAATTCCGTGTTGATTTTGCGTTTGAAGGGTGTGGGAAACCGATAGGCCTTGGGCTTAGTAGATTCACACTTCCTGTCATAGTCCGACTGCATGGGATCTTCACCAATTTGCTGTTCTTCCATAACGCATAAAGCGGGCATTACTTCATCAGAATTTGAATTGTCACTGGCATCGAAGGTAACGTTCAATTCGTTCCCTGGCTCGTCATCGTCCATCAAAATGAGGGATGGCATTTCGTCTTCATTTTGATCATCAGCGTCAAGTGGGCACAAGCCCAGCTCATCCATTTCATCCTCTTTAACTATATCTGGTCTAACACCATCTTCTATTATTTCTGGGCACAATGTCAGCTTAATCTCAACTGGAGTTGCCTCAAAAGATTTCTCGTTTATTTCCTCTGTAAATTCCTGTGTTGTATTTTGATCATTGCCATTGAGCGGTGACGCCACTGTGATTGCTTCTGCGATTTCCAACTCATTTGAATCTTCTTCCTGTTGTTTCTTCTCTTCTTCCAGTTTACTTTCCTCCTGCTTCTCCAACTCTTTCACCTCTTCTTTCATCTCTGTTGGCTCTTCGTTTCGCTTTTGCTGCTTTGGCTTTTTGACTTTGCGATTGCGCTTTGTTGAAGTCCGACCCACCAGGGCTATAGACCATTTTAGCGTATTCTCTTCGTCTTCATCCTCTTTATCAACAATGGTTGTGTCCCGTTTCTCCTTGCTAGCAGAGGCCAACAGATTCTTTTCAATAATTTCCGTGTAGTCCAAGGTAGGACGCACGCTCTTGCGGGCACTGCGACGCGGGGTATCGCTGACTATGCGAACGGACGCATTGGGGGTTTTCGGTAGTGCCATAAGCACATCATCCTCGAGTACAGTTTCCCTATTTGATATGCTGTCGTTTTGCTTTTGTAGAAGGGCGCGTCGCGTTTTTTTGGCCACAGGCGTATGCGAAGCCGACTCCTGGTGCTGCAGAACGCCATCAATTTCAGCTGCTTTGTATATGTGGTTTAATTAAATTTGTGCTTCCGAAACAATAACACAACTCAATAAGTATTTACCTGCAGTTGTTTCCATGATTTCCTACTAAAATTCTTTTACAATATGTACGCGTCTCTTTTTTTCGTTGCTTTCAAAATTGTTGTATGCAATGGCACTGTTAGTTAACATGCATTATGCGCGCGATATGTAGCAAAAGGTATCGATACTTTGTTGTCAGCAGCGATAATGTTAAGTGCGCTTGTGACTATCGATAAAAAATTGCAATTAGGCGTTGGCTTTTAAAAATGTTATTTATTAAAAAGTTCTTTGAAGAAATACTATTAAACTGCGTAATCATTTAAAATAATGACAGTTTTATGATGGCATCAACGACTAGTAAGTCAAGTTAAAATGAAAAACAATGGTATGAAGATTAAATATAGCTCAGCACTCATCGCTCTGTATTAAAGGTGTGCTCTGCCTGCTGAGGGCCAGTTGATAGGCAACCTCAAAAGCCTGGCCGAGAGTCAGAATTATTTCGTTAGCCAGCTCCTGTAATGAAACACAATTATATAATACAATATTTATATATATTGGATTTGCAGGAAACCTACCAAATTGTCAACCATAAAGACATGACAATAATGCAGCTCCTGCTCTTTGGTTATATAGGCGAAATAACGCATGTCCTCCGCATCCTGGCACACACAATTGATGTTCTCTATGTCATGCGAGCAGATGGCAGTCTGTAACAGATTCACAATAAAGTAAGCTAATTTTCAGGTCATTTCGGTAGCTCACCTTTAACTCATGATCTATAAACTTAACGCCCAAGCACGACACAGAGATATCCACCTGGAGGCGCGACTGCATATTGGCGGCTTTGAGATACTTTGTGGATGTATTGCAATTCTCTAGCAGGCTTATGTCACTGACACTCGAAGCCGTCTTCAGGTTCTCATCGATCTTCAGCTTCTGGATGGACTTGCGCGTCGAAATGGTGCCCTGTAGATGCCTGATAACCGTGGAGCCCAGATACTGCAAGGATTGAGATCAATTAGCAATGGACTCTCAATTGAGACATTATAAATATATATATATGTACATAAACAGAATAATGTATTTCGCCATAGACCAGCGTATAAGGCGAATGGCACCAGTGGGAAGCTGAACTCGGCGTTTTGCCCAGCAGCAAATCTTCTGGATTGCGTATATGTAGCGATTGTCGGACATCTTCCACAGAATTGGGTTGCAGCTGTAGCTTCATTGACAACTCCTCATTCTGCTGCTGCTGCTGCTCCATGGCCTGGTCCTGCTCCATTTCCGGCTCCTGCTCCTGCTCGTGCTCCATCTCTTCCTCCGTTTCCTGCCCCTGCTCTGGTTCCACTATGCACACCTCATTTCCTATATTCTCGAATATCGTATCAATCTCTGCCCACACCCGTGAAGCACTAAAATCCTCGCCAGTTGTGGAAAATCGTTGCTTGGACAGACTACGTCGTGGGTTCAGTGCATTCACTGATCTCACCATGCTCGGCGAACGCAGGCAACGTCCGTCCACTACATCCTGAGACAAATTCAAAGTTGAGCCCTTAAAGAGCCCGGCAAAGGGCACATCGCCCACAAATTCCTCTACCTGATCCGAGCTATAGGAAATGTGGGAGTCATCTAGTCGTGGTGGCTGTATAAAATTAAAGATCGTTGTCTCGGCCTCAACCACAGTGGGTGGCGGATAGTCGGGCGTGGGTGAATGGCAAGCAACACGCTTAGTGCTATTATTTATATTGCTGTTGTTGTTGTTGTTGTCTACCGCCTGCCGGGGCAATATATTCTCATAGTCAAGATTTAGACGAGTGCGCGGCATGGGCACCGGAGCTTGCACCTTCATTTCCACATAGTCAGATCTAGTTCGAGTTTGTGGTGTTCCAGCTGTAAATGCAAAAGCAAATAGTTGTGCTGAGGATTCTGATTAAGGCACATGGAACAACTTACAGCTGTTGCTTTGGCTGACCTGCTCCTCGCTGCTGGAGCTGGGCTTGAGCAGATTGATGAATTCATAGGACCGGGAGGGTATGGAAATGTTTGAAAAATTCTGTGTCGAGCATAGTAGAGCGCTTTGATACGGCTGTTTGTAGACTGGCTTGTAGCTATGCCACAGCGCCTCACGTGGCTCCAGGTCATGCATATCGCTAACCGACTTCTGTGGCCTTATGGGCTTCATGTCCACATAATTCGGTGGCCGCTTTATATAGCTATCCAATGAGCTTAAAGAGTGCGAAAGTCCATTTGGTGGAACTGGCTTGCTACAGTCAAGTAGTTAGGTTTGTTTGTGAGAGGGTGGTAGTAGTGTTATGTGGAAGAGAGAAATAGAGAGAACACCAGACCCGTTATATGGAGGCGCTGTGAAAATTATGAGCACTACCAACCGATTCAGAATGCTTGTGTGTGTGTGTGTGAGTGTGTGTGTGTGTGTCTGTGCGTGCGTGCGAGTGGAATGGGACGTGCTTTGTATGCCGGAGCAGATGATGAGCATGAATTCTATTCTGGAGCTGATCGGAGTTCACATACGAATTAATGCCTGCATTTCGTTAATTGATCTCACAAATTATAACATGTATATGATGTGGGCGCATATGAGTGGAGTTACTCGGTTGCGTGTGGGCGTGTCGCATGGTTCATGGTTCTGTTAGTGCGTTCGCTTACTTCCTCTGCTTGGATGGGTCGCTGAGCTTGGCCTGCTTTGGGCGCTGTGCATTCTTCTCATAGAGACGCTTGGGCAGTGACGACGAGTCGATATGGTTGACCAGCTGCGCTTGATTTCTGCGCAACATCTGTGACTCAGTCAAATTGGTAAATTCTGAAAGTAAATAAACAAATAATGCGTGGGCGTTAGAATTTTGAACAAAGAGCGAATTGAATCAGTCGCCAAGCGAACAAAGCTTTTCAATATAAACTATTCATGCTAACTACACTATACTATGATATATATACTACTTTATTTATATATTAACCAAATATTTAGCGATCATATTTTGCTGCTCCTCGGAATATATATATATATATACATATACATATTTAGTCGGGTTACAGCTACAGTTATAGTTATAGTTATGTTTATTTTAATCGGATTTCGCACCATTGATGACGGCCACAATTTCGTAAGTAACATGCGGTGGGTAATCGGAGAGTATTTCAAGGGCAGTGCGTCCGTTGCCGTCGGTGGCATGGATATCGATGCCAGCTCTGAGTAAGGTAACCACCACCGACTTCTTGCCACACAGCGCCGCCTCGTGCAAAGCACTGCCTGCATTGGTGAGTATGTTGACATCAACTCCAGCGGCCAACAGCGTTTCGACCACTTTTTTGTGGCCATTGCGGCTGGCCAAGTGGAGACAAGTGTGGGTGAAGATATGCTTGGTGGGCGTCGGCGAGTATTGATGCGAGTAGCCCAGCAGTTCGGACATGTCCTCCTCTGCGTGACGCCGGTAAGGCGCAATCAAATCGGGATCGACGCGCAGCAGCGTTTGCACTGACTGCAGGCGGCCAAACTGTGCAGCTAAGTCCAAAGCCGTCTGAAAGCTATTGTTGCGTATGGTGGGATCGGCGCCATACGACAGAAGTATGGCCACGACATTGGTGTGTCCATGCTGGGCACTCGAGTGCAGCGGTGTCTCGTTCTCAATTGTCTGGGCATTCGGATTTGCCGGCCTGGCGTTATGAAAGAGCAGCATCTTCACAATATCCTGATGACCCGCCCAGGAGGCCAAGAAGAGCGGGGTCGAGCCACGTATATCGGGCACGTCTACCTGCACATTATGGGCGAGCAGCAGGCGGACAATAGCGCTGTGACCATTGAGGCAGGCATGATGTAATGAAGTATATCCATTGACATCTTGGTAGTTGATATTGGGACTTCGACGAAAGCTAAGCAGTGGAAAAGTGGAAGAAAGAAGGGAGAGAGTGGGATAGAGAGATAGAGAGAGAGAGAAAGCAGATATTAATAGCATACAATAACTCTAGTTGGCAGTAATTGCGCTCACCTGGACAGTGGACCGTGTCGCTTGGTCGTCAGCTCCAATAATTTGCCAACGGTTTTTATATCTCCATTGCGCGCGGCTTCAATTAAATGCTGATCCTTGCCCATTGAAACTAATTAAATGATAAAAAAAACAATATGTGATTAAACTAATAAAAATGAGATCATAGCTACACCCCACTCCGCCCACGCCCTTGCAGAGCTATCAGGTCTCCCTTTCCCTCCCACATTGTCTCATCAGGTGGCAGTCAGCTGTTTTGGCCCACTGTAAACGCACCAGCACGTTCCAATTATTCACACATTCCATGGGACACACACACGCATAAACAAACACACCAATGCATAAGTTATGTTTGTTTTTATAAACGTGTTGGATTTAGGGCCTACTCTTCCAAGGTCATCGCACGGCATTGCCACCCAAATTTTTACCAAAAATAGTTCAACTTCAGATTCTTATGCATTTACCGACTAGTTGTTCGCTTTCTAAATAAAACACTTAATAGGCTATAAATGCAGATAGCTTCACACAAATTCGATCAAACATTATTGTGTGTGCTGCTTATTGTCGAATGATTAATTAAATATGGTGTTTGGACGTGGAAATAAGAACCACCGCAACACTCTACACAATCAACAAATTGAAACGAACTGGCAGTAGAACGATCGCTCGAGCTGCTCTGTTAAATTGACTCTGCATTGCGTTCTGTTGCCTCACTTTTGCGGTCTGTTACCTCACTTATTCGGCTTGCGTGTGTAATCGATGCTTATCGAATCCTCTACTGACAGTTAGTCAGTCGGAGACATCGATGTTTTTGCTTCAGACGCTCAATGTACATGTTTCATTTGGTTAATCGTATTAAAATCTAATTCTACTAATAGCCAAGCACACAATATGGAAGAAACTAGTCCTTTGAAGCCCAAGCGCAAAGATAAAACTGAAGGTGAGTGGAAGCAAACGTAACCAGCATTTAAGTAGCAAAGATCTGCGTATAAATGATAAATGTGCCGGCACAACGAGTTAAATAGAGACCGCTCGTCCGTGTGTGTGCGTGTGTATAGGTGTGTGCGCTGGCCATACATTAAAATTTAAGGTATGCCTTCCTGTTTAAAAGCTTAATGCAATGTCATTCATTGTGTTGCCCTTGCAGATAAGCTCGAGGAAACGGCAGTCGCAAACAGCGAAGGTCCACAAAAGAAATTGGCGAGGCTTAATGAATCGCTGGAAACGACTTCTGAAGCGGGCGAAGCAGACGTGCAATTAACACTGAATAAAACTTATCAGCAAAAGGACGTGACGCAATGGTTGCAATCTGCATGGGCCAAGCAAGCGCAAAGTACAAAGGAGGAGACAACTGGTGCACAAATCTATGGGGAACCATTTCAAATATGCTTGCTGCCCAGTTTTCTCGAGAAGGACAATACCGGGGCTTTGGTCCACGAGATGATCAACAAGGTGCATTGGTCGCGCAAACAAATGGATTTGTATGAGTTCTATCAGAGCACCGATTTATCCAATATGCTCGAGTGCCGGCTACTCACGAACTTTCTGCAGATGCTGCGCAAACAAGTGCGACCGTGGCTGGAGGAGATCACAAATCTAAAGCTGGACTATGTATCCGCCTCGTGCAGCATGTACAGCTGCGGCGACTATTTGCTAGTGCACGATGATCTGCTGAAGGATAGGCAAGTCGCCTTCATCTATTATCTCTCACCGTGGCAGGATGGTGAGGAGTGGACCGCGGAGCAGGGCGGCTGCTTGGAAATCTTTTCCAGTGATGAACAGTGCTATCCACAGTTCCCAGTGCAACGCAAAATTGCGCCCAAAAACAATCAGTTTGCATTCTTTAAAGTCGGCTCACGTTCCTTTCACCAAGTGGGCGAAGTGACCACCTTCGATTATCCCCGTCTAACGATCAATGGCTGGTTTCATGGCGCCACCAACGAGGCCTTCGTAGCGGACTCCTCACGCGCCTTTCCCCGCCTCAGCTACCTGCAGCCGAATGTGAATAATAATCCCAGATTAGGTCTGCTGCTAAACGATGTCTACTTAAAGGCAGCCACGCGTCGCAGCATACAGAAACGCATCGAAGAGAACTCGGAGATTTGTTTATACGAGTTCTTCAAGCGCGAAAAGTTTGAATTGGCACGCGCTCAACTCTTGAAAGATGAGTCGCTTAGCTGGCGACGACAAGGACCCGCTAATGCGCACAACTATGAAGTGATGGATCTAAATACCGCGAAGGGCACTGTCCACGAGCTGCTACAACTGTTCCGCAGCAATGCAATGTTTCAGCTGCTGCGCGACTTCACCGATCTGGATTTGTATGGCGTGGATGCCATAACGCCCACATGCAGCGTAGAGCTGCAGCGCTGGTCGCATGGCAATTACACGGTGCTGGGCGATGGTCTGGTCAGCGAGGAGAACACACTGGATTTGGTTTACTATCTGAATGCTGCGGAGGGAGCGGCAGTTATCACATATCTCTCACCTGATGTTGACCAGCGCGCGAACCACAGGAATGGCTTAGATGTCGACCAAAGCATTGATAATGATACAGAGGACGATGAAGAGTGCCAAGATGACTCCGTGCTGCTGACAATAACTCCTGTGGACAATGCCCTGAATATTGTTTATCGCTGCGAAGGCACCACCAAATTCACCAAATATGTTTCGCGCAACACTCCGCTGGACAAGGGGCCGGTGTTTGTTATATCTTGCAGCTATAAGGAATAATTGCGATGATTGTTCCAAGATATGCCGCCGCACGTACAAGCCATAAATTGTTTTTCAAACAGGCAATGCACAAATGTTTAATTCTGTTTTCTAAAGTTCAACGAGAGACATACTTGAATGTTGTTTGTATACAAGCGGGAAAGCCACTAAATGAAATGCCCAATAAAGTGATGTATAAAGAAACGCAAGCGATCAAGAATTTTATATGCAATCCCAATTTTTCTAACAGTTAGCACATTCTTAATTGTTGTATCACTCAGTTTCCATTCTTGTTTAATTGCAGATAAATACCGCATAGCTGCGACTATTGCATTCATTGTGGTTATCGTTGGAATTGGCGTGCCTATGTGGTGGAAAACCACCACGGTTTACAGGTGAGTCATCTACAGTGAAAACTCACTATGAATGATTGTGATTAGACGGAGGAGCACAAATCGAATATGACTTAAACCGATACGGTCTTTACCGTAGTCTAATATAATTTCCTCAAATTAAATTTATCTTAATGATAATCCTTTATAAATACTATCCCTAAACCACCGAGTATTTACAGTATTCACAATCTATAAATTTAAATTCTCTTCCCCAGAGTCAATTTGCCATCGTCTGCCATTCAACGACTCAGCGAACAGCGTATCAAAACAGCTGTGCAGGTGTCCATCTACACACAGCAGTCAAGTCGCGCCCAGCTGCTCATTACGGAACTGCAAAACGCATTTAGCGACAGCGGTAAGCCGAAAAAAAAGACCATCATCAATCATAACCACAGTGGGGCTAATACTAATGACTTTTCCATTTAGATATTTGGATTGTAGAGTTCAAGCAGCTGTCGCCATTTGCCAAGGCTGCCGAGGCCCATACACCGGCTGTCTTGGAAAAACTGCTGTTGCAGGAGCATCCGCAAAGCGAGGGAGATTTCATATTCATTGAGTGGCCCAAGCTGGAGGATGAGCTGTTGTTGACCACGGAACGCTCGGCTCTGATGCGCAGTGATGTCAGTAAGTAGCCTTCAATTTTGTAAACTTACAGATTAAACATTGAACTTCGTCTCTCTTCAGCTTCCAATAAGATAGCGCAGCTGCTGCATTCTAAAATCCTGCAAACCTATCGCATCAATCAGATACTCAGCACAGATGAGCGCATGGGCATCAAGTCGGAGGCACCACAGCCTGCCTATGATGTGGTTATATCCGTTCTGAATCCTAAACCTAGAATCACACATGCTCAGTGGAATGTAGTCATGGCCGCACAGAGTAAGACTGTTTGAGCTTTCTAACAGTTTGGGCCATGCTTTAATCACATACCATTACAGCTTATATTGAGCCCTTCCTGGCGCAAATCTCTGATATATCCAACTACACTGTGCGTACGCAGTGGAAATATCGTGTGGCCATTGAAGCTGAACTGAAGCAAGTGCGCGATCAAACCAAATTGGGTCGCCATTATGCACTGCAGGAGTCGTCTTTGCCGCATCTCCTAACATCTATAGCACAAAACTTGAGCGCGAGCATCACAGACAAACCCGTCATCAATCTGGTGGTGTATATACCGCCCTGCAGCACTGCACCGCTGCACATATACAATAGCAAAAATGTGATGTTGACGCGTGATGGTGTCGATGCATTTATTTCCCCACCCTGGGGTGGTTTTATAATATCCAATCCGCCCGAGAGCGTTTGCCTGGCTCATGTGAACGAGGAGTCTCCTCTGGCCTACCATGTGAATACAAATGATAATATGCAGGTGATGCTGGATCAGCTGCACAAGCTGTTGGACATCAGCAGTGAGGTGCAAATAGCTGGCGTCAAGACCGTGGCTATTGAACAGCTGGCACCCAGACGCTGGGAATACGAATCCTATATGCGACGCAGTGCCATTCGCCACATAGCCACGGCGAGCAACACATTGCAGAGTCTAATAAAGCTATTGGGTAAAGCATTGCAGATTTCAACTGACTAGATTCATAATTAATGTGCTTTACAGATCAAATCAGCTACATTGTGATTGACGATAAAGTTGGCACTGCCATAACCAACTCGTATGTTGATATTCTGGCTGCCAAGGCCGCATTGCTCGAGCATCGTTTACTGGATGCCTCGGCGTTGGCCAAGCGCGCTTTTGTGGCCTCGGAGCGCGGCTTCTTTGATGCGAGCTTATTGGCACAGCTTTACTTTCCCGATGAGCAGAAATATGCTATATACATACCACTGTTTCTGCCGGTCATGGTGCCTGTGCTTAGCTCTTTCAATATGCTGCGTAAATTGCTGCAGCGCAAGCGGAAGGAAAAGCAGCAGTAAACGAGCCGCAACGAACGCTTGCTCAGTCAACTAATTAAAATTATATATCATTTAAATTAAAGCAAATAAGGAGATTTTTTAAATATTCCAAACTTTATTGTAAATATCTTTCTGTGACAGTTCCGCCTTCCCAAATAACGTCATTATTTTCTGTTTATGGCGTGAGTGTCCGAGCATATGCAGTAGACGCTTGCACAGACGAGATATGCGCACAATATTCGCATCTTCATGTTTGAGCGTCAAAAGATTCAGTTATAGATCGCAAAAATTATACAAGCATTACTTGCCTAGTCAAATAAATTTTGATTACTAAATCAAATCGAGCAAATGACACTTCACAGCACCTCGTTTTTCTCTGATGACTTTTACTGTTGGTCGGTGCGATATTAGCGAAAATATATTTTTTGATGTCAGGGCTGAAAGATGCCACGCACCCACTACCATACCCACAGCCCCTCCGGGCCAATCGAGCAGACGCAGCGTGTGAACATGGCGCATAGGTCAGAAGCGGGATGCCGCCTCATGATGAGTGTCAAAACAAGCAACAAAAGCCTTGCCAATTTTTTCGGTAAATCAAAAGTTGTTGTTACACTCTCGCAGACAACAAAGTGCAGCGATGCTTGAGGACAGTCGACGATTTAATACCTTAACCAGCAGAAATAGCAAATATATTGAAATTAACTAATCTTCTGCGAGTGTACTCAATTTCTATATGGACAAGACTATCAAATCGTAATACCATATCAGACATAATTATTTTTATATATTTATCATAACAATTTAATGATCGTATTTTAAGCTAAAGTTGACTTTTACGTAACTTAAATTATTTTTTTTTTTAAATTCCAATTTTTTTCTAACATTTGCCTTCACTCTATCTTCATCTCCTTCTCTGCATTTTATTTTCTCTCTTCTTTTTTCTTAGTCTCACCTTACCCTGTTTTTGGCTCTCTCTCCAGCGCAGTCTCTTTATCTCCCTCCTTATTTCTCTCTGAATTTTTTTTTAGCCTCTCTATCTCTCTGTTTTCCCTCTTCAAATCAAAGTGCTTAATATAAGCATTTGAAAAAAGCAAAATTCAAAACATGAAAGGCTGCGCTTCTGTCCCCATCTAAATGAACCAATACCATGACAAATCGAATGAATTTGTGAACATAGTCTGTCTGGGAAGAGTGTTCAAATTGCATGCGAATGCAAATAAAAAAATTTGCGCAGCTGTCAAAACTCGTTAAACATTGAATTGGCTGTGGCTCTGGCTATGGCCTATGGGCGCTGATCGGTAGAGGGTGGAGACGGCAGACCTGGCCCAGCATCGGCGGCAAACTATGGGCATTAAAAACTAAATAGTTAATTTTTAATTGCGCATGGCTCGTTGAGTCGAACAAAAAAAAAAAAATAACAAAAGCAGTGGCAAATGAATGGATATATGTGAGTGAGTGTGTGTGTGTATGTGTGTATGTGTGTGTGTATTCAACAAGTATTTGTCTCTTGTATTGCAAAGGTTAAATATTATTTTAATGAGCTGAGCTGTGCTTGCCTGAGACGCGAATACTTGAAGAAGAAGAAGAAACAACTACCTTTTCTCCAATTTACGTTAGCCAAAAAGGTCAACAATGTGACTTTTAACCAACGCCAAATGCCGTCAGCTTGCCAAGTGGCTTTGTGTCACGGCAAGCAAAGCGAAGCAAAGACTTTCGGTTATGTCCCTGTAGCCAGACATCTACCTAGACCACATGGCACATGGCCACATCATACAATACATACATCGAGTTGACTCGACTCTAGTCGAGGCACGCCTGCAATTGCGCAGGGCTCGACGTCTGCATTTCCGGCGCCAATTGAATCAAATTACATGCCATCCCCTTCAATTGCCTTGGCTGGCCACAAAAACTTCGATTTCCCACACGCAGCCAGAGCCAAACCGCACGCACGTAAAAAATCAATTCAGTTTAAGAGCAGAAACTCGTCTCAGTTTTTCAGATTTGAGATTTGAGATTTGAGATTTTTCAAAGAAGTCAGCTAAACCGAAGGCTAACACAATAACGAAACTAATTTTGATGCGGTTGTTAAATATTTCCAAACATTTCAACACAAAAATGAGCTGGCTGTAAAGCGAACAAGCAGGATCGAATCGAATGCTATATACCCTAGCATATCACATGGTTGTCTTAGAATTACGGATGAGTTCAATCAATATATGATAAAGATATTGCAATATATTAGTTCGATTTCCATAAGTATATATTTTTTATTATATGATCTAAAATGCTGAGAAATATGAAATGTGTTTTTAGTATATATTCAATACCCAAACAGCTAATAGATTCAAGTTTTTTTTGTATGTTTGATATAATATATAAATATATGTTTAAGTATCCTGATGTGGATAAAAGAGGCGCGTGGACATAAAGAAATGTTTAATTTGGTCAATATATCTTCAAAGCGAATATCAGAATTTTAATGAAGAGTTTGAATTGAGAACTCTTTAGTAAACTTAGGAAACATAAGACGATGCTGACTCTATATGATATAGTGATTCTGTATGAAATAGTGGCTCTAAATGATATAATTTTTCTATATGAAATAGGGTTTCTATTAGATCTAGTGGTTCTACATGAAATAGGTGTTATATATGATATAAAAGAGTGCCTCTATTATTTAGTTGTTCTATATACTATGCTTGTTTTATTTGATATAGTGTTTCTATATGATATATCTGATATAGTGGTCCTATTATTTAGTGGTTCTATATGCTATAGTGTTTCCATATGCTATAGTGGTTGTATGTGAGTGATATTGAGGTTCTATATGATTTTGTGGTTCTATATCGAACTATATGGTATATGGTGCTAGACTATATATATACTGCTTCTAATACATGTTTTTGAAAGAC